GAAAATGAAAACATTTTTCCACATACTGAACATTAATCTTTTGTAATCCTACGCATGAAAAGAACAGATACAAACGTTCAAATTTTCATTTACTCGTAAACACTGTAATCCTTCTTTCTCATAATTTCTAAATTCCAGTAAAATTAAATTACTGATTGTTTATCAAACTACACTTTTTCTGTGAATCCCTTTATTTTAGTAGGAGAGTTGGATGGCTCTTTTAGCAACTTAAGTTGTGAAAAATCCTCCAGATATATCTTTTTTTCAATAACTAACAATTTGATTCAGTCTCTTGAGTGGCAAGAAGTAGATTTGGACATCCTTGAAACGTGCAGACTGTAGGACAAATAATTTAGCATGCAAAATTCATCTTTATTTGATACTTTTGTCTGAAAGACAAATCAAGGTAAATACCACTTCTGCACAATAAGACGTCATGAATGCAGAATTGTGACTGTGAGTACAACAAAAGGAACCTTCTACTGTAGACACCACTGAATGTTTGAACATTAGAGTTGAGGAAAATTGTAATTGGTCTGAGTATCATCATGATACTTTTGTTGAGTGCATGTTTTTAAGATCTCCAGGAATTTGAATTGTAGAAATAAGAACCCTTGTTCTTTTTGACTTCTTGACTGGAATATTACTTATATTTCTGTTCGGTCTAATGTAACTGTGGAATCAAATAAAAAACTTCACAATACGGTAGCTAAAAAAATGAAAATTTTAGAACATTACTAAACCATAGAAGTTGATTATGATCTATAAGCTCTGACAAATTTAAGTCATCCTGAAGTTTATCCCGATGACGTTGTCTGCAATGACAATGGAAGCTTCATAATTAAACCATTCAGCTCAGAGAACAAAACATTATCTAAATAATCCTCCTGGGCTACAGACATTCTCTCCCATCATGATACATTCTAATTCTGTCATATATTTTATTTCATTTAGTATCATTTGGATACTTATGTAACTTATTTAGAATTTGATAATTTATATCTCCAAACAATAATGTGTAGATTTATTAATAATGTGAGCTATCAGCGTATAGTCACTGACATATATCAATATAAGATCAGAGAGTGATAGGCTGAATATATTCAAGTTTTTGTGTCAGTACCAGGTTCATGAACGCTCAGTTGATGAATATATAATAAACATAACCATGAGGCATAAACCATAATTCAAGGAATAACTTATTTTTGAACAGTTGTGCTGTGAGCTGTGAATATTCTATATCATTACTGAGCAGAAATTCTTATTTAGAATCTCAGCTGTTAACAACGATATGATATTGCTTTTAGTACTTTTTATCCAATATTATTGGAATTCTTAGGATTGAATCACTCTCTCTTTATTAGAATATCAGACCTTTGAACTGATACATCAATCAAACTAACTGCTTTGCATAAAATTATTTAGGAAGTTGTTAAGAGTATAACATAGGGGCTAGTATTCCTCTAATGTAGAAATAGAAGTTAAAATCTGTTAAATCAGAGGTTTTCATCTTAACTCAGTGATTTAGTATATTACACTGAAATTTTTAACACTACACATTCAGTTTGAAATCGCTTCTTACTTTTGTTCAATGTAAATGATATTTATCAGCAGAAATCAAACATAAACTAAACTGTTGTGACGTAAACAGAAACTGTTAGCTTCAGGAAAAATTCTCATTTGTATTATAATCAATATGATGAGTATTTTCGCCGAAAGTTTCAGCTCTTACTGTACTGAGTTTAGGAGAAACTAGATTTGTATCTAAGCTGTAGCGTGAACGCTTTTATAAATTAAAATGTTTGTATCTATAGCTTTGAAAATAAGAGATAAAGAGTACAGTGAAGTTCAGTCCTAGGTACCGATGGACACTGATAGACAATTATAAACCAGTACAATCCGGTATTTAAGGCTTATTATCGAATAATTGTTTACAAACTCCGAACATGTTTAAATAACTATCTTTAGCCATAGACCTATTGGTTCGTATCTTTTTGTTATCCAGACACTCATTTCACCCTAAATCATCAATTTATGTCGTGAATGGTAGTTTGCCAAGCCGTATCTACCTCAAGCAGTCTCATAAATAACCGAAAACGTTTTCTAAATGTTTTCCTTAAAAACAAATTTTGTGCAACGCATATCAACTTGTTTGATACACGTTTAACTATATGAATGTCGTCTTGATTATTTCTTAAGAAGGTCTAAACACCAGTTACTTGCAGAAATCCTATCATCGGAATTTAACTTCCATGGAACCTAATAAAAGTTTCATGTGTCATGCAGATTACCTATGCTTATTTGAAATCTAACGGTTTAATTTGCCAAGAAAAAGAGGTGAAGTATTTGATAAACAGACTTATTTCTTGAAAAATATTTTTACTGTTGTTATTAGAGTTAACAAAATCATTACGTGAAATGTATCTCAACATCATAGCAAATAGTCTACTGTTCATAATACACCATATGGCTGGTAAACTTACAACTGAACCTATGTATGGAATACTAGTTCTGGTAGTTGATCGACTACTTCAGAGAGTAGTAAGAGATTTGGTAGCATGTGAGTAAAGTTCTCAACTATGGTGCTGAATAGTATTTGTTAAATACTTTCGACAAGAGTTAACCTGAAGTGGAAAAAATTTCAATGACGAGACACTTTTGTCAGTGATAAAATCCTCAAGATACACAATCCCTTACAAGTGTTACATGTACTTGGTAAAATAAGGAAAATGTTTCATAAATTATAATGGAATTTGTTTCTGATGAATGGTATCTGGCAGGAAACCTTGCTGTGCATAAGGTCTTGTGCTCATTGACACTTGTCAGAAAGCGTATCTACAACCTATAGGGAATTGATGTTCCCTCTGAGATTTAAACCCACGTCGAGTGGTGTTCCAGCCAACTATGTTACCACTGAACTATTCGACCCAAGACTGACCTCCTGTATATCTGAGTGCTTTGACTAGTCACTAAAGAGCAAACAACTTCAAGTTATATTGTCCTGAGTGTCAACTGAATTCTATCAATCACTTCAGTTATGATTACATATTATAATATTGGGAAAATAATCACATGATGTAAAGAATAGTAATCAGAAAACTTTTTAACACTGCATCAGTACGTAGCTACTGAAATGAATGATCATAAAGTAATAACAGAAATTTATGTGATCTAAAACGGTGAGAAATCAGATTTGAAGGACTAGAAGAATGTAGTATTTTGTAAGATGTAGGTTGCTATCAAAAGAGGAAAAGGACAGGTTTCGAGTACTGAGTATTCTCATAGATCATCGTGATTAAAAACCAGGTGACTAGATAAATTTTTTCGAATGCAAATCTCATGCTTCCAAATATGTATCATACTTTGGAAAAGTTAGCCATATATCTTTTTACCTAGTTTACACAAACCCTGTACGCATAACTGTGGGCAGTTTTTGGATTTGTCATGCTATCGAAACTGGTCACATTTTCTGAAATCAGACTACGAGATGCTGTACATTTTTTAAATGGAAAGCAGACTAGGATAAGCCTGAAGATGTGTCTAGAAAGCAAATGCTATGGCCAGCACAGCTTACTACATGCAAATGTGGTGGGTAACACAGGTCAATTTTATCATGACAGCATGAAGTGTTTTTCTAAAGAAGCATGAAAGATGATTTCTCAGTATCTATTCTAACTACTTTCTCTACTGAACTCTAAATTCGTGAAAATTATCTCTAGAGGATGACTGAGTGATTCAAATCTCTATACAAAGGTGAAAACGAGCGGAACTGACAAACTATATTCATGCAGCAAGGAATCGTAACCGAAGAATCTAAATAGATTTTTTTTAATTCCTGGAAATTCGTATTCAGTGAGTTACACAAGTTTTCAGCTAGTAACTTAACAGCAATATTTGTGCAGTGTAAAGTGGTAGACGTCATTCCTTTGCTACCGTGTTAACTAATATATTGCGCTACTACCTTTAAATCGTTTGTTAACACAGTTGTTTTAACTTCAATTTTAACTAATATTTGCAACTAATCCAATTCTTTTATTGATGATCTTCCTCTGATGATTTTATTACCGAAAAATGTTTAGAAGAATTTCGATGTTATAAGTTCTTACTACTTTATCACCGATTCTAACTAAATACTATAAAGCCTGTATATACATACAAAACAATTGGACATTGTCACTATAAGTGGCAAAGAGTTAGTGGACTCGTCTGTTGACAATTAACTATTAAAAACAAAATAAACAGCAATGAAAGATAACATATGCAGAGAAAAAGACATTGCCTGAACCGACATCTGGATCCATTAAGCAAGTTTTAATTCATATATTATCATATCACAAGGATATATATGATAAAGTTTCGACTTATGCATCACTTGTTTAGTGCATTACATACCTCTTGTATTAACTGGTAACTTATTATCTGTTTTCAAAGCTTACGAAACACCTAAATTACTTGAAATATCAGAACTGTAACAAGAAAGAAACTGTTCCCTAAATGATTTCATTACACCATGTCACCAGTCGATGGAACTAGGTGGAAGTGGATCATTGGCGTCCAACTAAACGCTTAGTGATTATGCATACGCTGTGAGTTCTGCAGAAGTGGACACGTTGCTTTACAAGATCATGTGCACTCAATGCAGTCAGATATTTTATTTATTAGAATAAGTTGTCGCCAAACTGGTTATATCAGCCTCGTTTTTATTAAGACTGACAGAAGGGGTGTGTGACTTTACACAGGGATTTAGTAAACAACGTCTCGACATTTTTCTACGTAAGATCTGGAAGCGAACCCCGGGCGGGAACACTACGACAAGCGCTGGCAGATGTGTATTATTGGAAGTTCATACCTGATACAACTACTCAACACCTCGAAATAAATAAAAACGTAACATCCAATTTATCCCACCGTTCACCATATTGTATCAAATACATTCCCTTGAATTTATCATTCAGGCAATTAAAAATTGAATAAAACGTCGTATTACAAATAAAACATACCCCTTTTGTCTGATGAACAAGTGGAAAAAGAGTTTTATGCAGTTAGTTGGTTTCACTTTGAGAGACTGCGGAGCTACCACTATTCCAAGCTATTCAAATGTAATCAATGTTAATTATAGAAGATATAATCAATTAAAATAAGGGAATATTTTGTAAATAGGATACATAAAAAAATAATCCACTTTCATTTATCACAAATATGCAAGTGCGCAGTTATCACTTTGAGACGGTTGTCTACAGTAAAGATCACTTCGAAGAATAAAACGATTAGTGAACTTTGTATATCTCAAACTTTTGACTACTTGTATGAGGTAAGCTTTTTTACAGTAAATAAGTATTTAACCTAAAAATGATATAGTGAACACACAGATAGCAGGGTGTGTATACCAGAAGTATGCAGTCTTCGTAGGGAGAATGTGTGTATTCCGATGTATATATTTTGACTCTTCTATTGTACTTGGTGAATTTATGCTATGTCCGTATTCAGTTTTGCGATCACCATCATCATCGTCATCATCCTTCTGATTATCAAACTAGTTCACTCGTTTGCTAGTTCGTTAGCTTGCACATTCGTTTGTTCAATTTCTTCTATATCAGCCTACGCCAAAACGTTTTAATCGACCATATTCTTATACTGGTGTATTACCACCCCACAGCAGATTGACCGAAAAAACCTATAGTGCTATTAGTTAAAATAAGGGAATTCCACCCACGTATTTTTCAGGAAAAGTGTATGCATGCATTATTGTTAAGTAAAATAGACAAGTATGTATACTTTGAATACATTTTCAAGCACAAAATATGTACATCCACATGTTTATATTTTTTGTTCTTACGTCTATGCACATGCCTTGTACTAACCTTAGTGATAGGCGACGTTAGATCCAGTTGTATATCTTATTCTATGGGAGGATACTAGAAGTCATTCGGGTGTACATTAAAGCGACTTAAGCTCTCTGCTTATGTCTTGGCCATCACAGTGATATTAATATTCATCAGGAATACGAAGTATCTGTCAGCATGATTGAAGTTTATGGAGATTTATTTATTGATTTCAGGTTGGTTTTCATAACCGACTGACAACAGTTGGAGAAACAATGGAAACCATGGAAGCACTAGACAGCTCTTTCATCCCAGTATGGAACTTCAAAAGAAGTACACTGCCAGGAACTGGACCCAAGACCTTCAGGTTTCGTGGCCAGCACATTACCACCGAGCAATGGACTCAGAATACAGTGGTTTATATTTTTGTTTCTACCATGACCAATAGGTCCAATTAGGTCAAATATGAGCATAGTTACCCAACGACTGCGTCGGATGTGGGTCATGCTATATTGTGAGCTGGTAGAATTAGACAGTTTGAACTACTCTGTTGTTCTGACCTTATGGCTCAATGGTAAAATGCTGACCATGGGACTTGAAGGTCCTGGCTTCCGTTCCTGGCAAGGCCTTGGATGCTTTCAACTGAGGAGTACTGCACTAAGAAGAAACAGCTACCCAGTGCTACCAAGTTTCTAGTGTTTCTCCAACTGATGTCAGTTCATGATGAATACCAAACTGATATATATATATATATATATATATATATATATATATATATATATATATATATACATATATAATTTGTCCCTTGGATTCCTAGTGGAAAATAGGGCTTCAGTAGCACGTCGCCATTGCACTCATTTCTCTCCAGTCCTTTCAACCTGGCTCCACCACTACCAACAACCTTTCATTTCTTCTTCACACCATCTCCTCCACTTCACCCTCGGCCCGAACGACCAACTCGTCGTTTCCCGCTTGCATTCCACTCGACAGCCTGACCTGCCTCGTGATGTCTCCGAATGGTTTTCTCAGTGTACCTCCAATCCCATCCATCTCGAATTTCGTCTGCATATTTGATGGGTGATAGGTTCTTGGTCGGTTCTTTTACAGAGTTCATAATTGCTTATTATTATTATTATTATTATTATTATTATTATTATTATTATTCTAGCCATCTGATCTTCAGTGTCAGTGTCGAGTAAGCGTAGACGTGGGCAGCTGTTGGTGTATGTCTGTAGTTTGCAGGAAATGCTTTTGGTGACGCGCCAAGTCTATGAACCATCACATGGAAGCACTGACTTCACTGAATTAGTATTGAGAATCCGCACCTTGTTCATGCTTTATGCTGAGTTCAGTAGATCTATCTCCACACTGATTTCAGATTAGTGACAGCCTGTCATGCTGTCTTTCCCATCCTGGCCTTGACCTCCTCGTCTGTGCCACCTGTAGTTGAAACAATGCTGCCTTGCTTGGGTAGGTGAAATAGACAACTTCGTTTAGGTTTCTCCCGTTGATGGTGATTGGTGCCTGTTGTTGATTCTGTTGTTGGTTGAGTATCTTCATCACCTGCACCACTGTCTTCTCTAAGTTCACTTGAAGGAAGTCCCGTCCTCGCTGCTCAGCCTCTTCTGTTAACTTGTTGGCTTTCACCTGTAGACCTTTGAGTTTGTGCAACAAGACATTAGACATAAATCATCATCGGCGGCGAAGTTTAAATCTTCTGGGGTCTTTTCATTGGTCCGGCCAGCGTATGCTTGTCTTCACGCTGCTCACAGTTTGTTGCATGATCCAGTGCAGTCCAGTCGACCACAATCAGGAGGATGATCGATGATAGTAAGCTGCAACCTTGTCTTACTCCTATCTTCGCTTCGAAAGCTTTCCATTTTGAATCACTTGACATGTAGCGTCGTTATTTGGCTGTTGAATGAGGCTGATGAATGTTTGCGGCACAAAAACCGTAGTGTCGTAGGAGCTGCCACCTGAATTATTTCTCGGTCGATGGCTCGATAGAAGGCTTTTTCAATGTGGATGAAGTAGAGATAGAGTTGAATCGACTGCCGTTCTGTACTCCGTCCTATTATGATGTGTAGCGTTACAAATTGATCCACACAAGATTTGTTCTTTTAGAAGCCAGCCAGCCTGCTCCAGTCCTACTTCTGAATCCAGATCATTTTCTCTTTAATCACTCAAGGATGATGCGGCCTATTATTTTGCTTGCTTTGGGTGGACAAGGACAGAAGCATGATTTTTCGCCAGTTCTTGCAAAGGCTTAGGTCCCATTTCTTTGGGAGTTTGACAAGGTAGCTCTCCTTTTAGTCTCCAGGTACCTTTCCTTCCTTCCTTCGAAATCTTCTGCAGTAGTGGTGCGAGCATGTCCGCTGATGTCTCCGAGTCTGTTTTCAGTGCATTTAGAGGAATTCTATCTAGTCCCCCTGCTTTCCCAAATTTCAGCAGCTTAATGGCGGTTGAGATTTCATTTCTGCTTTTCTCGAAGGGCTTGTGCTCACTTGCAGTTCTGTGACTGGACTGCTGGTGGAATTTCTGGACGAGTTCTAGGTGGTGGTGTTGGTCAATTCAAGAGTTTTTTGAAGTGGCCAGTCCATCGTTTCGTTTGTACCTCCTCTTTTCTAACTAAGTTTCCTTCACTAACTTTCACTGGTTTCGTCTGAGTTAATCTCTTCCCAGGTAACAACCTGGTTATGTAATATAATGTTGTCAGGTCTCTGTCTCTCCTACCACCAGCCTGTTCTGCTTCAATTGGAAGTGTGTTGTAGAAGTGTGTTTTGTCTTTGCGCACACTTCTGTTCACTTCTTTGTCCGGTGTAGTGTTTTATAAGTTGAATTCAGTTACTTCTTTCATTTTTCATCCCTGCACTGCACTGTACCGCACCGGTTCATCTTCTGCTTCACCAACACCATATTTCTCTCCCTACTCTTTCAGCTTCCATACGTCCGTCGAGATCCATTCCCTGTCCTGATGCTTCTTCCTTCTTGGTACAGGTATGCAGACTTCCTTCCACATCTCTTTCAAAACGTTCCAGTGTTGTTCCACACAGGTTTCCTCAGGGAAGTTGCCTTATGTCCACCATTTTTTGTTGATAGCTGACGTGAATAGGTTTTTTGTAGTTTCATTTCTCAGTTGAGTTTCTGGGTGTTGAACTGTGGTCTATCACCAACTTCCTCGAAGACTTTCAACTTGGTTTGAAGGTTCCTTGCACTAGACAGTGAGTGATGTGGACCTACATCTACTCCTCTTGTTGATCTGATCTTGTGTGCAGTGGGCTACGTCTCCACTTTCTTCAGATTGAGATTGAGTCGATCCGGTATTTCGTGTGTCCTGGTGTCTGGTGAAATCCGTGTCGCTTTGTGAATATGCTTGTGTTTGTACACACTGCCTCGCCTCCAATCATCAAATCATTAAAGGTGTAAAAGTCTGTATATAGTTCTTGATTGTCGTTCATCATTTCACCGAGTGGTTGTAGATGCGTGATGAGTTCTCTTCCTGTGTTGTCTGCTCCCATTTTGACATTTATGTCAGCCATTAGAATGAATTTAGATGTCGGCATCTGGGGTGGGGTCTTGTCTGTATATATTACTGATTGCAGTTGTCTGGAGAATTCCTCCTTCTTCTCTTGGTCTACATTATTTGTTGTTGCGTAGGGTTGCATTGTATGATTGTGACTTTCCTTCCTTTTGATTTGAATCTTGCTGTCATGATCCTGATACTGGAGGAGATTGTTTCTCACTGAATGAGATAGAGCCTCGGTGCTGTTGAGGACATCATGATAGCCACTCGAAAAGTGTGCTGGTGGTTGTCATCTGGGTGACAATATCGGAGTGGATTAGATTATTGACTCCTCTTGAGTTGACAGTTTGGAGAGTCCACTTGCTCTCGTAGATTCCTAGCCTAGCACTTCTATGCCATATTTTCTCATCTCTTTTGTGATCTGTGCAACCTTGCCAGCCAGCTTCAAACATTTTGCGTACATTCCATGTCCCTATGCTTACCTTTGCTTTCATTGAGAGGAGACATCTTCCTGACCAATTGGCTTCCCGAAGGCTTTCACCAACCGGCGTCATTTCGTCTCTCTGATTCCAGCGAGGAATAAGTTTTTGTATTTATATTTTCTCTGTGCTTTGAAGTTTCTTTAGCGATTAGATTTGTTTTTCGGGGTAAGGTTGCTAGGCCTATACCCAACCTTCCGTCTCTTCCTCCGGGCTTCGGACTGGCTAGTAAACTAATGAACTAGTTAACCAGGCGATGTTGATATATATATATATATATATATATATATATATATATATATAATTCTGTAAATATTGACAGATGTCTTTTCAAACAAAACAGCGTCCATCTGATGTCAACTCCCTACCTTCCAAAAACTAAATAATGAAATGAATGACATTCGTTTGTTTAAAGCGGTTTAAATAATAATCCTGATCTATGAAGTATCTTGCATACTGTTTGCTTTTTAATCGAATGATTTAAACTTTTCATTTAATATA